TTTCCAGTTTCTTGTGTAACGCGAAAATATGCGGTTCGTGCACCAGTCGCAGTCTATCAAAGTGACGAATCTCGACGGTAAAGTGCAAACCAATAAAGAGATGCGCAAGCATGGCAAGATGCTGCCGAGTTCTATATTCGCGAAATCATTTGCGGCCCGTCGAATTGCGGCAAGACGAATGTACTGATAAGTTTGTTGGAGAGCCCGAACGGTGTACGCTTCGAAAACGTATACGTTTATTCGAAATCTCTGCAACAACCAAAGTATCGATATCTCGAAAATTTATTAGCACCGATCGAAGAAATAAATTATTTTACATTCTCCAATAACAGCGAGATCATTCCACCGAGCGAGGCGCTTCCAAATTCAATCTTTATCTTTGATGACGTGGCATGCGACAAGCAAGACGCGATAAGAGAGTACTTTGCAATGGGTCGCCACGCGAACGTTGACTGCTTCTATCTCTGTCAGACTTATGCAAAGATACCGAAGCATCTTATACGTGACAATGCAAATCTGTTGATTCTGTTTAAGCAGGATGGAACCAACCTGAAACGCGTGTACAACGATCATGTCAATACCGACATGTTATACGAAGATTTCTGCGATTTGTGTCGTAAATGTTGGCAGCAAAAGTATGGATTTCTCGTAATTGATAAGGACAGTGCGCTTGCTAACGGACGATACAGAAAAGGATTTAATGACTTTGCGGTACCGTGAAGCGATCAGTTGTCATCGATACGCTGACTGTGCAACATGGATAGCAACAAAGATCATGAGAAGATAGCCATGGAGATTGCGAAAACGAGCGATTCAATTCGTAAAAAGTATCGCGCTTTGAAAACTGGTAAAATGGAGGAGGAGATCGCGTTGGAGAGACACTTTAAACCTATTACCGAACCGTTGAAACAAATTGTCGAAAACACTGTTGAATCATCGAAGGATCCCATCAACGTTGAAACATTCTTTTCGGAGAAAGACGAAGAACCGAAACCGAAGCGAAAACGATCGAACGCTTCGTACGATAGTCCTATACAGGCGTCCACGCCTGTGAAATCAGCGTTGAATAGATCGATAACTGTACCATCCACTTTGAACGAAATGTCTAAAATAACAGGATCGCGTGAGTTATCGTACGACCACGCTCCATCCATCGAAGAAGTATTCGAGATTGCCAATGAACCGCTCGTAACATCCATCCGACATCTGCTTCAAACATCCGAGGGGCAAGAAAAACTGTATGCAAACTATGGTTCTTTGGGACAGAAATATCTGAAAGCGGTCTTAAGCGGTAAGAAAGCTGTCAACATAGACGTCGTGTATGGAGTATACTTTAACGACGAGGGAACAATGCTCGGTGACAAACATATCACCTTGAACAAAAACGATGACATAATTATAGATGGAAAAAGATACGATGGAACACCGGGACTGTATGAATTGATTTTTATGAAATTTCCTAACGAAAGTATATGCACTGATGACGATGTACAAACTTACAAGAGCATTCTGTTGACAACAAACGCTTATCAACGTGGTCATAACGCTGGTAATCAAGTATTGGGTAACAAGGGACACAAATACAAGAACATCATAGCACCATTGGTGTTGGGTAAAAAGCTTGGGACCGGTATAAAGAAAAAACTCGATTTGCCGTGCGCCATGTCATTAACCGACAACAGGATTGATTACGTACACTGGGACGATCCCAACGAACTTGTAGATCGTCTTCGATTGCTCGAAGCCTCGCGTCAAGCAGGTCACAACGGCTACGATAATGAGATTCTATCGATTATCGAAGAACTTCGCGAAGCCGGACTTATTATAAATTGATCACGATCTATACATGTCGATCAGTTGACATTGAAATGCCGATCAACAAGTTTGGACTGTCGCTCGGAGGAGGAAGCGAATCGCACTATCAGTGGCGTGGATTGTTCAGAAATTACGTGCGCGATAACGCTCTTTGTCGAGTTGCAACCGATTTTGACGCAAAGTTGCGTAAGATTCGACGTTTAGCACTACCAGTGGATGATACTGACGCAACAAACAAACGATACGTGCAGCAGAGTGTTCAAGATTTGTAAGATCGTCTTGATGAAATTGAAAGAAAGGTAACGTTATTCCAGAATAACGTGCAAATTATGTTAAATGATTTTGAAAAGAAGATTCGAGAAGCGAAGAATGTCTGAGAAACGATCGTTGGTAGAGGAATTACATGCTCCGGCGAGAAGAAATTTCCCGCGAAGACATGTCATAGTACACGGATACGATGATCTGTGGCAAGTGGATGTAGTCGAGATGCGTCCGTATACGCGCTTCAACAGAGGTTACCACTACATTCTCACTGTCATCGACGTGCTGAGTAAGTATGCATGGACCATGCCGCTCAAAGCCAAGAGCGGGAACGAGGTAACGCGGGCAATTGCAAAGATAATTCGAGACGACCGAAGATGTCCGAAAAATTTACAGACTGACAAAGGAAAAGAATTTTACAACTCGGATGTGCAGAAACTCTTGAAGAAGCACAACATCAATCATTATTCTATGTATTCCGTAATGAAGGCATCGGTCGTAGAACGATTCAATCGTACATTGAAGAATGACATGTGGAAACAGTTTACATACAACGGAAACTATAAATGGATCGAAATGCTGCCGCGTCTCGTGTCGGATTACAACGCGCGTAAGTATCGCACTATCAACATGCGACCCGCTGACGTAACTCCCGCGATCGCCGAAAGACTCCTGGCAGGGTTGCCAGATTAGGCGACATGTCGCCTTTTAGGCGATTTTCTCGTTCCCTCGGGCGACTTTTAGGCGCCGCCACGACGGCAGCGCCGAGACCTCCTTTACCATCCAATTCCAATATCCAAAAGATTTTTAGGTCTAGAAGAATACAACATTAGCAAGCAGTGCCGCTCACAAACAGCGAGCGCTCACTCTTAAGGTACATTTCCACTGAGCGAGTACGTCGTCCATCGCGTCGCGTGACGCGCTCAGTGTAAACGTATCCTTATGCCAGTGCTGACAGTGCTGAAAATATATAGTGCACGTAACGTTCACTGTACTACTAATAGCTAACGGTTAAATATTAGAACGCGATACTTTCGTTAGCTGAATTAACGAAGCCAGAGAGCTGAGAGATATCTTAACGCGCGAATTTGAAGATGGGTAAACACGGAAAATATAAAAAACACTACCGCAAAGAATGGGAAAAAGAAAAGATTTTTAAAGGTTAGTTATTAATATTTTTAGAATTGAACCGTAATATCTAGACTGTAGTCTGATTCACGTTCAGAATACTTAAAAATCATTTCATTTTTGTTGTTTGTCAAATATTAAACAAAGACAAATGATGCTCATGAGCATGGTATTGAGCGTTCTTTGTACGACTGAATTTCATACGACTGAAGAACGTACGACTGTTTCGACTGTAGACTCCGCATGAGTCATTTTCATCACTCTCATCTCTCAGTTTATGAAGTCACTGTATGTAACTCGTAAGTCAGTGTAATGGGCCTTCTACAATAAGCCGTAAGTCACAAATCATAAGTCATAAGCTAGAAATGGACCAATCACAGTCGTCAATTTTTAGTTTCTTACTTCAGATTTATGACTTATGGCTTATTGTAGAAAGCCCATAATGCTGGATTCACACTGCATCCGATTTTCGTCGTACGACGACTCTGCAACCAATCAGAAAGATCGTATCATCGATACGAAGCAAAATTTTGTTTCCTGATTGGTTGCTGAGTCGTCGTACGATGAGATTCGGATGCAGTGTGAATCCAGCATAAGCGTATATATGTATACGATGCAATAAGGAGCAATAAATGTACATTAGATTCACCTATACTTATATTACATTAAAAGAATAGAGAACGAACAGTTCACATTCCCGGTTTTTTTTTTTATTTTTTTTTATAGCACTTTTCAGTGAGGCAACTTTTGGGCGACACAAGTGCCCCCCGCCGGCGACAGGGCCTATCAAGTATCTGGCAACCTGGGCACGGTGTATAGTGCGATAAAGATCGCGGGTCCTGCAAAATTCAAAGTGGGCGATGCGGTACGCGTAAGCAAATTCAAGACAATATTTGAAAAAGGTTTCACACCGAATTGGACCACGGAGGTATTTAACATTATCAAAGTGCAGCAAACTAATCCAGTGACGTATCTACTGGAGGATTCCCGCGGAGAGCTCATAGCTGGAGGATTCTACGAATACGAACTGCATCGCGTCGCTAATCCCGATGTATACCTTGTTGAAAAAGTGTTGCGTAAAAGAGGAAACGATGTTTATGTGAAATGGTTGGGACTTGACAAATCACACAATTCATGGATTCATAAAGACAATGTATTATAAAATTATAAATTATACATTATAAAAATAAACATTATATAAATTATATATTATACATAAAAGTATATTAAATATCCTACATTAAAGTGTATTAAATATCCTTTACAAATTATATTACATATTATATATTAAATATATTATACATTTTATACAAGTTATATGTATGTATGTATATGATATGTGTTTTATTTACACCGGTAATGTCCCCATGGCAGCGTGTCGGTGGAACCTGATACGATATACCGCTTATCATCGTATGGGCTTAGAGCGATTTTCGTTTCCGATATTGTATACACCTCATGTAATTTCGATCTGATGCACGATTGTCTGCGCGTCATTTCAATAACATCATTCATGCATTTCGTGTAATCATCAAACGTTATGGATCTTGCCACAACGTTGCTTTTGACACCCTTTGCCTTTTTCGTATCCTTCTTTCCTTGTACACGTAAAGCGTACATTTTCGCTCTAAGCCCGACGAATTCAGTCATGATGGCACCGTTGTTCTCGTCTTTCATAAGACCTGGAACTTTTTTATTCGCGAGCGGAATACTGTACGGGTTGTCAATAGAGTAATCGCTCGTATCAAATCTATCGATATCGCGTTTTATAATTTCATATACGTCGTCACATTCTACATGGTATATGAGGCTATCAGTATCGGTATACATAATTTTGCATTTATCGTGAAATAGCGGTGCCATATATTCGTGGTGAAACTCGTACAAACACGTTTTCGATATATCGAGGATGCACATACCCACGTATATCGGTTTGTCGAACTTCCCCTCGAGTTTACGCAGCTCTATCGCGACCAGATTCTCCGAGAAAACGCTACGACTGTGAAAGTTGGGTTTCGCGATCATTGCTTCGGCACCGTATCTGCCTTCCCATTTTGTTACTAATTTTACATCAACGCGATCGCGCACATTCTCCATGGTTTTACCAAATACCGCGTTATTCATAAGTTTGTATAAATTTTTCTCAAAATCATTCTTTGCCAAAGTTCTAAATTTTGTATTTAATTCTATGTAATCGCGAAGCCATGGAGATTGCGTGAATTGCAGTATACGGTGAATCTTTGCGATACGGAGGCCGTGACGAGTACACTGCTGCAGGTTGCGATAATGAATCACGTAACGCTGCTTATCGCATAACGTCGCGAGGAGCTTGTCATCGCGCTTGCCGGGTGGTTTCTCTCGCGTTGGACAGAACGGTAGGTCAGTGTGCGCGTCGTGGAGATGTTGTGGGTACTCAATGTCAACCTCGAGAATATAGCCTGTAGGTGAATCTAGCGGGATGGTCGAAAAGTCGAAATTTTGCACGTCGTCGACCCATCGAAAATCAGCGTATGGCAATGGTTGACACATTGCCCAGCCGATTAGGTACGATGATGGTTTCGATGAGTCGTACGACGACATGTATTTGTTGTTCGCTCGCGCGTACCTATTTGAGCACTTGCTCAGACCACCGCGTATACCGCGCTCGACAAACATAACCATGTCAATGTCTGTGAGCAGTTCAAATTTTACACCCGTATGCTTCAACATGGCATCCCATGTGAAGCCAGGCAAGGTGTAATAATATGCGGGGTCGAGCCCGTAACTCGCAATGCAACTGTCGCGGAAATTTTCAAATACGTCAGCCAACAACAATACATCCGTTTTTAGATACAGATCGCTATATTCACCGAGCGTTTGGATGGAGAACCGCTGCCACACGTTGACTGCGTGCGCGTAATCGCTCGGATACCGTGGCGTCCGTCAATGAACTGTAAAACGAATCGCGAGGCGGCAAGCACGATTCATTCAATTTTTCACTGCAATCAATGTACTCGTACGGAAAGACACCTTTTCGTGTTAAAAGATTAAAATTTTCTTCCGATAAATGAGAAAATTCGCGTCGCAGTATCCGCAGCTTATCTTTACTGAGAAAAGATGATAATTTGTCTAAACTAGAAGCGAGAAATCTATATGAATCTATAAAACGTAATTGTATACAATTTTTTTTATCATCTATAGTGTCATCAACGTGTTTAGTAAAAGAGATATATTTTTCTTTAGTTATCGGTAATAAATCTATATTTCCTTTGTACGCGGTTGCAATTTCTTTGATAATGAAATGAGCGTCGTAACCGGTTAAATTGTGAAAGACTACGGGTATGCAACGCGAATCTTTATAATTTAAATTACAATTTGAGTGCGCGGGACCTCTGTATCGTCCAGTAAGATGGCAGTGATCGCGTGCCCGCTTATCGTCTTTCGCGAACGGTTTCTCGCACACATGACAGTGCGTGGCGCTATTGAATTTTCGCCAGTCATCTGGCGAGAAATCCATTACATTAGTCGAACATTAGTCGAAATTACAGATTGCACACTATGTGCTAAATTTTTTAATTCGTCCGCGAACCATGATATGCAATTATTATCGCGGCGAAAACGATAGCTTGATAGTGAATCGTCGTATGAGCAATGAATGTAATATGCTATACTAAAAACCTGATGATGTTGATACATGGATGATGTTGGATCTTCATCCATCTTCTCCAATGCGCACTCCAAATCGGCGTAGACCACGAAAGGGACGCGCTCCTTCCTGCAATGGTTCTTGAACTTGAGCCACTTGTCGTCCTCGCTCGGCAGCCTTATCGCGCAATCGTTTAATTTCCCGCAATCCGTGCTGTGGAGCTCCAATTTAGAGCTCGAGCTAAAGTAGTGTAGGCATCTGGAAGAAGAATAAAAATTAAAAAATAAAATTATTAGTATTACCGTTATTATTATTATTACTATTATTATTATTATTATTATTAATTATTATTATTATTATTAATTATTATTATTATTATTATTAATTATTATACATACCTATCGCAGAAGTATTTCTTATGCTCCTTTTTGCTGATTTGTGAACTGACGAGGCGTGACAGGTCTTTAATCAGCACAAAATGACCCGCGATGTCATCCTCCACGTACAAGAGGTTTACATGCTTGCTCCTCTTTTGGTCAGCGAGTCATATCGGTATGATCCCCTGCTCGATGGCGTAAACGTTGATGGAAATGTCGTTGAGATTTTCAAATTTTTTAATTTGACTCAACGTCATCGGGAATTCAATACCCGTAAGATTTAGTACCAATGAGTAGTGTGGATATGAAGATTCTCTGTGACCATTTTCTTGGGCTGGATGCAGAGCGGCAACCACTGACCATGCAAAACAAGCATTGTCTTTGGATTGCACGTTGATATGACATCCCGCGCGCAGAGGATTTAGTTTATTCGCAAGTTTAATATACGCGACAGTGCCCATCCACTATCACGTTCTTGAAACTCTTCGAGCGATGCCAGGATTGGCTCGACGACGCGTGACACATACCACTCGCGCTGATCGGTGCATCGATGTATTTCATAGTTTCTGGTTGCGATGCTCTTGTTCGCGCGTTTATCGCCAGCTACGAATTCACCATTAAATACTGTATTTATCTTTATAGAGTCATATCTCTGTAAAACACACTGTATACGCTCGAGCACAATTTCACTCGCGTCTTCGAGAAATCGGCGGGGGTCGATGTGATTAGAGTTTATCCCCGCGCCCGTTAGAATACGGCTTTCGAACGCTGTTTCTATCTCGCGCCATCGGAGTCCATATCCAGCGCCCACATATACGAATCGTCCGCGCACTGAATCCTTTATACTCTCGAGCCGCGCAATACTTGCGATCACTGCTTGTCTATTACCGATCGATAATCGCGGGCATTTGATCCGACTCTGTTCTTCTAGAGATTCTATAAATTCGTCGCATCGCTGTTCCCACGCGACGTACTCTTCTCTGATATTCAGCTGTGCTGCTTGCTGTATCAAATCTAGCTCCATATCGCTTGATTGACTAATGACGCTATGCGTCTAAATCTTTGCGTTTTATATCAATCTATTTGGCAACAATGCATCTCTTAACTGCACAATTTGGCAACGTTGCATTTGTATCAAATTACATTACTGCTCTCATCACCGGACGTGTCTTTTGCAAAAAAATCTTAAACAGAACTTGCGAACGTTGCATTTTTAAATATCGAATTACACTAATGATTTCATCACCGTACGTGTCTAAAAATCTGTATTGTGTAAAATTTTTTCTTTGCTGCTGCATATTTGCAAACGCTGCATTTTTAAAAAAATAACGTTGGAGGGGGTACAGTTTAAAAGCGGTTCGTGCAACGTTATTGCATCAGTTACTCAAACGATTTCAATCAGCATGGATTCTCACGTTCAGCATGAACTGTAAGTATTTCACATATATCTATATAAAAATTATACATCTATAAAAATATTCTATGAAAATATCTTATATTATTTATTCTTTATTGCAGCGCACGTAACATCATGGGTAGAACATTTGCGTTGACTCCGACAGCGTACAAATTTCTTGAGATTGGGATCGCCGTAGGATCGATGTCTCACGTGGAAATTGCGATTAGTGATACCCGAGGCAACCGCATCATCCTACCGCACGCCACGTGGACAGCGTTCGTC